TCCTCATTAAGTAATGTAGACAATGTTACACAGCAAAATAAGTTAATTGAATTCATAGGATTTTAAAGGAATAGTACACCCAAAACATGATTAGCCTTCATTTTCTACTCACCCCCATGCTGAACAACACTCTGGAGTACTTTTTTGATACCTCAAATGCATCTGGAGATCTGGGAGGCTTCTTGCTGTCTGCTGATATTCAAATAATGGAGGTCTATGGCGCCCGAGGCAGAAAGGTCCATAAAAGTCCACAAAAAACGTGTCTATTCCTCCATACTGCTCGTCCAATGTATTCCAAGTGTCCTGAGTGGGTAGCATCCAGAATTAACTCGAAACGAAGTCATTTAGAATGTTTTTAGAGCATAAACAGTAGTGTATAGATTTTCCTGAAAGCGCGCACCTGCGCGTTCACAACACTACGGAAGCCGGCAGACCAAACCAGATGAAAGTGCGCATTCAGCGTCTGCTCTGCCAATAATGCAAGCGTAGAAGAAGAAATGTGCTGTTTACCTGTGCAAAGAAAGAAACAACGAAAGAAAAATGTCTGAGGACTTCAGTGTTGAGGAAGAGCATGAGTTCTTTGCCGAGCTGAATGCGCACTTTCATCTGGTTTGGTCTGCCGCGGTTTCCGTAGCGTCGTGAACGCGCTTTCAGGAAATCCTATACACTACTGTTTATGCTCTAAAAACATTCTAAATAACTTCTTTTCGAGTAAATTCTGGATGCTACCCACTCAGGACACTTGGAATACATTGGACGAGCAGTATGGAGGAATATTGACACGTTTTTTGTGGACTTTTATGGACCTTTCTGCCTCGGGCGCCACAGACCTCCATTATTTGAATGTCAGCAGACAGCAAGAAGCCTCCCAGATCTCCAGATGCATTTGAGATATCAAAAAAGTACTCCAGAGTAATGTTCAGCATGGGGGTGAGTAGAAAATGAAGGCTAATCATGTTTTGGGTGTACTATTCCTTTAAACTCAACACTTTTAATATGTCTATATTGGTCTGCATGAGGACATTGACTACGACCCACATCTGGATAACTCGAAAGTTGACCCTCCCACGCATTAGGTGTGCGGAATCCAAAACTGGTCTCCTATTAACTTATTTTTGGGCTAGTAGAGCACACCCTGCAGTTATTGATAAAAGCTGAATTAGACTTACCTGATCCCTGATGTAACCGAGACCAATGCTGCAGCAAGATGTACTGTAAGTAGTTCTCTGTTGAAAACCCCCCACTCACCCCATCCTGTGATTATGTGATGGAAAGACGCATGGATTGAACTTCTGAACTTCGAATTTGACGGTCAGATAGGCAACTTGGAAAGATAACAACTCATTAATGCCCTAGTCTACAAGAAATTGACTTAAAATAACCTTTTAAATCCCACACCATCTCAAAAGTCTGTCATTGTTGTCTTTGGGGCAGTTTTAAGAAAATAATTAGAAGATAGGTTGGATTTAACTCTAGTGACTATCACAAACTCTTAGGAGGAACTCACTTTTACATAATAGAATTAAATTGCTAAAAACTTGTTCCTTTTATTTCTCTTGGATAGCATTTAGCCAGACCTATTCCGTAACTCACCTCTTTGTCTTTTTTTGAACTAATATCAGTTTTTATAAACTTTTATGCAAAAAGCCTATATTAAATGATGATTTTAGCTTAAAGGGAAAAAAGCTATAAAATCCTTACAGGCAATGTATCTTTTACATTGCTATAGAGGCCCACTCTATTTAATAGATTGGTTTCAATTTGACCACAATGGAGCCTTTGGTGCCACTGGTTCTCAATATGCTTTTCTGGAGTCCCAAAGCTTTAGGAATGGATTTCTCTCTCTCTCTCTCTTTTTTTTTTTTCTTGCAAATTTATTCTGAACATGATATGAGGTTTGCTTTTTTACATTTGTGAGCTTCATTCTGTCAGGCGGGTGATTTTTTGGGGGGGAATTTATTTATTCTCCAGCTTTGGAAATAGCCATGGTTAAATCTTGCCAATACTCAAAATAAACCAAAAAACAGTGGGATAATTTTTTCTCCTAATTAATGAAATCAATATAATTTATAATTAAATTCTACATTGTTTGTTTTTCCTTCAAAATCATATTTTTATTCTCTGTGAACTCAAAGGATTTTGACATTCATGCTCCACTGGTCAGCCTCAGCTTCACACCCTGTCATCTTGGTGGTCCTGTGACCTGAAGGTAAACCTGTGAATATTGAATGTACATCTTTCTGCATGACTGCAAACATCTAGCCCTCAGCGGACATGCTGCCTCAGTGGCATGGCTGCTCTCTGAGAGCCTGCATAGTTGGACAGACTCGGATAGAAAAAAACAAAACACAGAGTTTAAAATCACCAGCAAAGGTTTCAGATGTGAATAGATGAATGGAAACTGTTGAGACTTGACAGCAACAAGCAGAAAGTCACATGATGCATTTCACTGATAGAGAAAAGTAAACTCTCCTGACTTTGACCTTAAAATAGAAAAAAAAAACATCTTAACCCTGTGAGCAGAAATTTAGGTTACATCATGGTGAAAAAGTTTCAGTCCAGCATGTCATGAGGGATCAGAAGAAAATAACAACAGTGTTAGAAGGGAAAATGAAAAACTGGACTCAGGGGAGCTCTGCTTGGTGGCGCTGGTTAGGGAGATTAAAGATATGACGTGGGGAAATGATGCCAAGTTCAACCTCTTCGTCTTCTTCTTCCACGTTGCTCTCCTGGGCTCTGGTAGGTTTAAAAATAGAGCTTGTTTAATAGAGAAGAGTGCCGGGGGGAGGCGGACGGAGAAGAGGAGCGAGAAGCCCTCTGTGGTGGGAGAATGCAATTTGAGATTGGCCAGATTGCTTTTTATTCCTCCTTTTCTTCTCTCTGTCGGCCACTCACGAGGCGTGATGTGCACTGGCAGAGCCCCTAAGCCTCAATAAGCCTGACGCCAGTACCCACGTCGCCACCGAGGGGTTGTCGCACTCACAGCATGGGAAAATCAGCACGATGAAATAAAAGAGGGACTCAGGGAAGATCAGCAGGGATTTGAGAGTGATAGATGACAGTCAGGTGAGGGGAGTGGTGGAGTAAGAGGGGAAAGAAATGAAGGAGATGGCTTCAGTTGAATCAAGGTGGGGGACGACAGAATGTAAATGTACTTGAGCTGTCTGAGGTTGACTTTCTTTTTCACACGAGGTGCACTCAGTCTCAAAGCTTGCACTGAAAGTGAGGGAACATTGTTGGTAGTGACCGCTGACACAGAAGGACAGATGTGCCATGTTGGGTCTTGAGTAAACTGGCGATGTCGCATTTTCTGACAGTTCACTTCCTTGGGATTTAACTTAAGCTAAGTAAACAATAGATGAGAACATGGTTCTTCTGTTTCACATTATGAATAAAGAAAAGGGTGAGTTAGTTTGTGTGTATTTGTGAGTAGTCACGAACATGGAAAGCCCATTTGTGCCTAAGTTTTAACTTTGTGTCTTTAGGTGATGCATACTACAGCCATTATCATTTAACTGTTCTGTAACTCCTAGATCAGTTTCTTGGGGTCCTTTTTGTGTATGTCCCCTGCCTTCTCAAATCCCCAGTGAGATGGGCATTGGCCATTTTCAGTGCGCCTGGTTCTGATGGAGATTTCTTCCCTCTTAAGTGCTGTGTCCCTGCCTGCATTCTGGGTAGGCAGGATTCCTACAAAGTCATTGATAGATTTCATGTGACTGTTCACCACAGAACAATGCTCATCCAGGAGGAGTGAAATCTCTGGGTTAATGTTAAGACGCAATGTTCTGGGTTTCCTTTTATAGAAAATGTTGCAAAGTATCTTTTTATTTTTGTTTGACATTTATGACAACTTCTCACCATTGTAAGGGGTAACAGTTAGTAAATGGACACCAGCCTTGGAAGGTTCACATAAGAAACGTTTGGGTGAAGACTAGCATATGGACTTGCAAAATATGAGTATAATCCTGCATGAAATGCTATGAAGTCATCCAGTAGGACTGGGCAATTACTTGCATTTGCAATATGGTCAAAATTTCTCAAAATATAATTTTCATATCAAATAGGCACTCTATTTTGGTCACATTACATTTAACAAGCCATTGAATTTACTCTCCGGCCCTTTAGGTGGCAGTCATAGTTTTAAAAAGAGAGAATAAGCCTGTAGATTCAAGCATGTGTGATGGGAGTAAGAGTTATTTCCATTAAACAGCAACAATAAGTCCTGTGACAATGGACTCTAGAAAGGCAAGCTTTCAAGCTTGGGCTTCACAGGACTAGCCTTTGGTCACCCTGGAGTTTTGGTGCCTGGGCAAGGGGACCATGATGGTTGCCTCTGCGATGTGAACCCCAAAGGAGTGTCACGGAAAAGGGGAAGAAGCAGGGGAAGAAACAGTTGTTTTGTCCTCAAAGCACCACAGGAGGCAAAGGCACACTCAAGTAGGAGCGACTCGTGATACTGTCTCGGCCTTGGGGAGGTTTGCAGGACCTTGAGTGTCTGAACAGCAGGCAAACCTTAACCCTCCTAACCCAATGGTTATGTTAAATATCAGTATAGACATTGGCTCTCAACGTCCACATTAATTGTTTATTGTACTACTATTATGTTCCTACTTGGTAGTCAAGACAAGAGTAGATAATATCTATTGTTAAAAGTTACCCTGGACACATTTAGGTCTGAATGAACTTGTTCTCTGTGAATTTATTGAAATTCCTGTTGCACCATTTCTGTCTGTTTCGTGACAACCAACCCAGGCCCTCTGCTGAACCTACGGCCAAGAGTTTTACTCTTGCTTTATTTGTGGGTTTCCCTCTGCTGACATATAAGATGGCTTCTGTTGGATATCATAACATCTAATTCTTCCAAGTTTTCTCCCCATTACCTCAATGTTATTTTGCTTTAGCAATATTTTTAATGTGCCTCTTCAGAGTGTCTACCAATTAAGTATTTGGTTTTGGACAATAATCACATGTTTATTGTTATTTTTTTTTGTCTCTCTCAGGAGGTGAGGGTTCAGCCGAGACCGGTCAGAAGGAGACGTCCACCTGTGACATATGCCAGTTTGGAGCGGAGTGCGATGTGGATGCTGAGGACGTTTGGTCAGTTTGAACATACAAAAAAAACACAATCATTTTGGGATTTTTTTTGTTTTTTTTCTCCCCCTCAACTCATGACTCCTTGCCTATCGGTTTGACTCTTGTCAAAATTTCAATCATATCAGTTAAATATAGGCTTTACCTCGAAGAATTCAAAGCAGCGCTTCTGTGTCCTGCACACACCAACTGCTGAACACCCACCAGGGGTTTTTATTGCATGGCTGACCATTTCATTTAACCCCAATTACCAGAGCAGGGCCAGGAGAGAAAGGAGATTTTCGCTTATGCTGGAAATCCAATTATTCTCCTTACAGAACTTGGCAATGTCAGAGCAAAAATGTCTTTGACTCACACGAGAGAAACTAGTTCAGCAATGAAATAACGTTTGTTGTGGAGTTAACCATTTACTGCAGGTGGAACAGATGATTCTTTATAGTCACTCTAATATGTTTTGTTGTGGGTGCAGCACAAAAAAATAAGCAACTCTCAGTGGGTTTTACACGGAAACATGTCTGTGGAAATTCCAATTAAGAGCCGACTCAACCGGAGACGTTTTTTAGCAGCAGAATCAGACCATTCTACATGAATTAGGCTAAAATAAAGAAACATTGTTGATCTGCTTTGGAACATAATCGGCTGGTATCAGCAAAGACAGGCAGTACTTAGAAGAAATCCCAGATGTGTAGCTGGAAATTAGAAGCGCCCTGAGAGTATGACTCTATCAAACCGCTTGATGTAATGGAAAGATAATGTACCCCTGTGTGCAATAACCATAATGCCAAGGAATGGCTTCATGATGCATTTTAAGCCTCGTTGCAAATACTAAACAGTCTGAGCCCACCCCTCCTGATGCCACCTACTTTTGCAAATGCACCTTAATATGCTACTAAAACCCAGAAATTGATTTAATGGCACTTCTGTATACCCAGTGGGCGAATTTATCCAATCACTACAGGACACAGTTGACAGTTTGTGCACATAAAAGTAAAACACTAAAGAAAATGGAGCCTCAATCCTATTTAGCACAACCTGAATTAAAGACAATTACACATTGCATAACACAAGAGGAAGACGTAGAACAAGTCAGTAACACATCTTGTTAAAAAAAAAAACTATTTGACATAAATATTATAACAGACATGAATATTTTAGCTTTTTTTCCTTGTAAAATGAAAACTATGAGTGTTTAATCTTTAAAAGCCCCGAGGTGTTTTGATAGGAGCGTTTCTGGTGGATTATCAGGAAGGTAATTGCAACCCGACGGTGGGTGAATTTCCTGAAACGGCAGCCAGCGGTGGCTGCAGAGTAAGACTGTTTTGATTAAAATGACAGGTTAGTCCAATCAGGCGGCAGCGGGTTTTAATCAAACACACTGTCAGTTAATCACACTGTGATTGGAGAGAGGTGGCAGTAATCAAAGACTGTCTTATTTTTACAACAACAGTCCACATTATTACATCGTTTCCACAGCAGGCAGTTTTAAAACAACTTTTAAAAAGAGGAATTTGACACATTTGTTTTTTTTTTTCGTTCATCCTATTGGTTTCTCTGCAGGGCTACCATTAAGGTTAAAATAGGGTGTTTAAGCTTGTTTTTCTGGTTAAATGTTTTTTTTTTTTTTTCAATGAGACTAATTATTCCAGAGAATACTATCTGCAATCCCTGCTGGAAATCCAGGCCATCCTTTAATCAGAGTTCAATTCACTGCTTTGCATCGACTCATCATGGGTTAAAACCTATTTTAATTCCTGCCTATTCAATATTGATTTGAAATGTTCTTTCTCCAGTTTAAAATGAATTTGCAACAGAAAGCTGCAGCTGTTTTTAGAAAGGAATTAGGAGCACAAGTTTTAGTTATTGTGGATTTTTTCCAAACCGGGAACGGTTAGTGCTCAAATATACCCAGCTGTCTGACATTTGGATTAAAGGCCGCTTGGCATTTTTTTTTTTTTTTTTGGGAGCTATTAGAAACATGGTCTCATTACTGTTCAACAAATCGCTGCTCTTGATTTTATATCATTGGTATCCTTTTAGTTCAGTGGTTTTCTGTCATAGAGCTTTTATTTATAGCTGTGGTTTTTTTGATGAATATTGACTTAAAATCATCCTGCGTTTGGGATTGTTTGGGATTATTGTGTATTCGGAAAACCCAACTTTTTGAGCATTTGATTCAACTTGCCCTCTCCAAGTTAAATTAAAAATGCTTAGCACTAACCCATGATCCATAGTGAAGGCTTGTACCAGGGAAACATGCCTCAGCTTCTGAATTAAAAAGTTCAAGATGAATGGTAATCCACAGATTCAATAAAAGAAAATCCAGATGTTTTTTATTTACTTTTGTAACATTTCTTTTAGCACAAAAGTAATTGCTCAGACCAGAAAAATATTAGCTGCATTGTTAAAACGTGTTTGGAGAAGTTGAGATGTACCAAGTAAAGCATTGTGATGGCATCATCATGCAGTTTTCACTGCAGGAAATAAGGAAAGGAAATAACAAAGGACAAGTTCCTTCAAATATTTTAGATATACCCAAATGATTTGGACACTGGCAACACTATGATCTCAAACATACATTTACACAGTTAACACTAAAGGATTACATTAAGCTCTAGTTTACAACTGGAACCAATCTGACTATAACAGAAAAATAAGCATTTTGTTTTCATGTTTAAAATCATAGAAAACATTGGCTGTGGTTCACAATTCATCTAGGTTAGTTAAAGGCATACTATGCAACATTTTTCAGTTAATTAATGTGGTCCATAACGTTTGGATGATTAAATGAGTCATTTCAGCTCGAACAAAGGTTTTCTTTGCATTTTCTTGCACAAAATCCACTGAGCCTCATGTATGTTCCCTGGTTTTAACCATGGCGGAAACTCTTGGCTGGAGACAATTTTGGTTACATTTACACTTGCTCATATTTTCCAGACAAAAAGTAAATGGCGCATCTCCCAAATGTCCCGGCCGCAATCGGGACGGAACCAATAATGGCGAGCCATTATTTTCTTTTTTAATAATAAAAAAAAAATTGTCAATTTTAACGTTTTATTTAGATTACAAAAATAAATCGTAATAAAATAATCCTATTCATGATGTTTTGAAAATTAAGACCTACGAAAGACTGATTTAAGACATTTTAATACCAATTAAGGCCTTAGTTTTATTTTGAAGAATTTAATGCCTTTTAAGACTTTTTAAGGACCCGCAGGAACCCTGATAAGAGTTGATAAGCTACGTTTGGTTTTGACTTGAATCTGACAATCGTGACAAAGAGAGGAAGCAGTTTCTTTGCTCTACCACAAAGGTACTAGGATGTAAAAACGCCTGAGCTCTGTCTCATGTGAAATATGCCTACTGTACACTTCCTATTGGTGCAGAATTATTTGTGTCAACATTGGCATGGTAAGCAAAAGTCAACATATGTTGCACTTGTTAAAACTATTATTCATATTCTGCATATTTTTTCTCAGTAACTATAATACATTTATTCTGCACCACTCGAGATTCTGTAGGGACGGATTTTTTTTGTTTCATTTATCGTTTTGATGAAAGGGTTAAAACTTTGACCTTAAAATTTGTCTTAATATTGGTTCATAACAAGACATGCATCTGTGATTTAATTTCATGTATTTATTTATTTTATTTCATCTTGTATTAAGACAGAAAAGCTGTTCTATTCTGTTATATAAACAACTTTAATAGTCTTATTTTGACTTAAAAGTAGCATTGTATATTACTAGAGAGAGTAAAGGAAATTAGAAGCAGTGCAAAGAATTCAAAACAGTCGCCACGTCTCAGATTTCTCACAAACGGGAAGATATATCAACATAACCGAGGACGACAACACAGAAAAAATCCTGTGCTGCATTTAAAGGTCCGTCCATGCATTCTCTATACCATCTAGTCTGTGCAGTGGCTGCTAACTCTCCCCAATGGATGAGTTGCAAGCCCATTACAGAGAAACTTAGAGAGGCAACCATGCAAACACACACCTGCACCCCTGGGCAATTAACACAGACCAATTAACTTTTTTGATTGTGGGATGAAGCCAGTACCCAGAGGGAACCCATTCATGGTGGAGGAGACCATGTGAACGACTGTAGAAATGACCCAAGCCTGGGATTCAATCCTAGGTCCTTCTTGCTTCAAGGCAGTAAAAATACCATATGTGCCACAGTGCAGCCCACTTTGGAAGTTCTTATTTTAAAACCGAGTTATTATGTTTATATAGTTTGACAGCATGAAATAACCCATGTTTGCCTGCTTTAATAAAAGGTTATGCCTGGTCAGGAGAAAATTTTCATTTCGGCCCATTCTGCCCAAAGTATTATTGATTCAATTCGTCATCATTTGTGATTCGCCGAAAAATGAATATTTTTCCCTCTCTTGCTTTATGGATTCAGATAAAGAAAAATGTCCTGAGTGTTGTGGTGAAGATACTGCACGCTGAGTGAACCTCATTTGGCAGAATGCTTCACAGCCTTTATCTGCACTCCACCCTTCTATAGCTCCTATTCTCTGGAGGCAGACTGCAGGCAAAAAAAAAAGACTAATTTCCCTCGAAGGGATCAATAGAGTGTCACAAAATCCCATTTAGATCCATTTGTGGTGTAAAACTGTAATTACCCACAAAAATCTATGCTTTCAAACCCATCAATAGCACCCATCATTGTTGATGGAATTAAAGGCGAGGAGGTTGCTTGGCCGTCTGAAAGCTGCTATTGGACCTCCTGGGACAGCTCAGGGGGGAGCGGGAGGGGGGGATTCACATTGTAGACTTTTCTTTGAAGAGTTTAACGGAATTTTAAATATGCCTTCAGGAGGACAACCCTCTTAAATCCACATAAACATTTTTTTCAGTTCTTAGCTCTGCATCTGTATAGAGATATATTATATATATATATATATATATATATATATATATATATATATATATATATATATATATATATATATATATATATATATATATATATATATATATATATATATATATAAAA